TCTGAAGAAAATAATTCCTTAAAAATTAGAATTGGGCAAGTGGAAGCTAATGACTTCATGAGACTTCAAGAAACAATAAAAACAAAGAAAATGAAGAGAGAAGAAAATGTGAAATATCTTATTGGAAAAATAACTGACTGGGAAAATAGATCAAAGAGAGATAATTTAAGAGTTACTGGATTACCTAAAAGTCATGATGAAAGAAAGAACCTAGACATCATATTTCAAGAAATTATCAAGGAAAACTGCCTTGATGTCCTAAAACCACAGGGTAAAATAGAAACTGAAAGAATCCATAGATCACCAGCTAAAAGAGATTCCAAAATGAAAATTCACAGGAATATCATAACCAAATTACAGAGCTCCAGGTCAAAGAGAAAATATTTCAGGCATCAAAAAAGAAATCATTCAAATAACTTGTAGCTACAGTCAGGATCACACAAGACTCATTAGCTACCACATTAGAGAGCAGAGGACTTGGAATATAATATATTCCAGAAGGAAAAGAGCTGTGATTACAATCAAGGATAACTTACTCAGTAAAACTGAGTATACTCATTCGAGGAAAAAAAAAAGAATATTTAATGTAATGGAGGATTTTCAAGCATTTCTGATGAGAAGACCAGGGCTGAATAGAAAATCTGACTTTCAAATACGAGACTCAAGGGAAGCATAAAAAGGTAAACATGAAAGAGAAATCATAAGGGACTCAGTAAGTTTAAGATGTTTACCTTTCTTTATGGGAAGATGATTCATGTGTCTTCTAAGACCTTTATTATTATTTTTAGGGCAATTAGAAGGATTCTATATAGAAAGAGGGTACAGAATTGAGTCAGTTATGTTGGGATGAAGTTAAAAAAAAAGATAGGTGAGAAAGAGGGATACCCTGGGAGAAGGGGGGAGAGAGAGGAAGAATGGGGAAAATTATCTCACATAAAATGGGTGCACAAGGAAGAGTTTTTTGTTTTTTTTTTACTGTGGAGGGGAAACTGGTGGGGGGGGAGGCAATGCTTGAACTTTGTTCTAAATTAGTTCCAAAAGGGAAAATATATATCAATTGGTAATAGAAATCTATCTTAACCAATAGGGAAGTAGGAGAGAAAGGGGATGAGTGAAAGGGGGTGTGAAAAAAGGGAGGGCATATCAAAGAAGGCAGTAGTCAGAAGTGAAACGGATTTTAGAGGAGGTGCAGGATAAAAAGAGAAGGATAAACAGAAGAAAATAAGATGGAGGGAAAACACATAGTAATTATAACTCTGAATGTGACTAGGATGAACTCACCCATAAAATGGAAATGAATTGCAGAATGGATTAAAAACCAGAATTTAACAATATGTTGTTTACAAGAAACACCTCACATAGAGAAACACAGACAATTTAAATATAGGACTAGGGCAGAATCTATTATGCTTCAGCTAAATTGAAAAGGGTAACAATCATGATCTCAGACAAAACAAAAGCAAAAATAGACCTAATTAAAAGAGATAAACAGAGAAACTACATCTTGCTAAAAGGCACCGTAGACAATGAAGTAATATCAGTAACTAACATGCACCAAATTGCATAGCGTCCAGATTCTTAAAGGAAAAATTAAATGAATTATAGGATTAAATAGCAGAACTATCTAGTAAGGTACTTCAATTTGCCCCTCTCAGAACTAGATAAATCTAAACATAAAATAAGAAATAAGTTAAGGAGATGAATAGAATCTTAGAAAAGTTAGATATGACGGACCTCTGGAGAAAACTGAATTGGAATAGAAAGGAGTATATCTTTCTCTCCACTGCACATGACACCTTTACAAAAATTGACTATCAGGGCATAAAACCCTCACAACCAAATGCAGAAAAATTAAATGCACCCTTTTTAGATCACAATGCAATAAAAAATAAATTTAATAAAGGTCCATGGAAGCATAGATTAAAAATTAATTGGAAATTACATAATACTAAAGAATGAATAGGTCAAAGAACAAATCATAGAAATAATAATTTCATTAAAGTGAATGATGACAATGAGACAACATTCTAAAATTTGTGGGATACAGCCAAAGGAGTACTTCAGGGAAAATTTATATCAGAATGCATATATCAGTAAAAGGGAGAACAGATTTGGGCATGGAACTTAAAAAAAAAACTTGAAAAAGAACAACTTAAAAATTCTAATTAAGCACCAAAATGGAAATCCTGAAAATAAAAGGAGAGATTAATAAAATTGCTGGTTTTATGGGACAAAATAGATGAACCATTGGTTAATTTTATTTATACAAAGAAAACCCAGTTACTAATATCAAAAATGAAAAGAGTGAATATACCACCAACAAAGATGAAATTAAAGTAATTATTAGGAGTTTTTTGCCCAGTTATATGCCAATAAAACTGACAATTAAGTGAAATATACTAATATTTGCAATAATATAAATTGCCCAGTTTATCAGAAGAGGAAATAGAATATGTAAATACCTGTATCTTAGAAAAAGAAATTCAAGCCATCAGTAAGCTCCCTAAGAAGAATCCACAGGGTTAGATGGATTCACCAGTGAACTCTATCAAACATTTAAGGAATTATTAGTCCCAATACTATGTAAATTATTTGAAAAAATAGGTAAAGAGGGGAGTCCTACCAAATTCTTTTATGAAATAAATGTGGTTTTCATACCTAAATCAGGGAGAGCAAAAACAGAAAACTATAGGCCAATTTCCCTAATGAATATTAAAGTAAAAAATTTAAATAAAATACTAGCAAGAAGATTATAGCAGCATATCATAAAAATCATACACTGACCAGGTGCAACTTATAGAAGAAATGCAGGGCTGGTTCAGTATTATGAAAACTGTCAATTGACCACATTAATAACAGTAACAACAAAAATCATGTCATTATATCAAGAGATCCAGAAAAAACCTTTGACAAAATATAACACCTGTTGCTATTAAAAACACTGGAAAGCAAAGGAATCAATAGAGCCTTTCTTAAAACTTTGAGTAATATCTCTCTAAAACCAAGAGTAAACATTATCTGTAACAGGGATAAACTTAAAACTTTTTCAATAAGATCGAGACTGTAGCAAGGATGTGTATTATCACCTCTGTTATTCGATATTGTGCTAGAAGCCCTAGTTTTAGCAATAAGACAAGAAAAAGAAATTGAAGAAAAATAGGCAGTGAGAAAACAAACTCACTTTGCAGATGATATGATGTATATTTAGAGAACCCTAAAAAACTAGTTGAAATGGCAACTTCAGCAGAGTTGCAAGATACAAAATAAGCCCATATAAATCACCAGCATTTCTGTATACTACCCACAAAACCCAGTGGCAACAGATAGAAGGAGAAATTCCATTCAAAATAACCGCAGATGGCATAAAACACTTGGTAGTCTACCTGCCAAGATAAACCCAGGGATTATATGAACACAACTACAAAATACTTTTAACACAGATCTAAACAATTGGAGAAATGTTAATTCCTCATGGTTTAGGCCAAGCCAATATAATAAAAATGACAATTCTACCTAAAACGATCTCATTCGGTGCCATACCAACCAAACTACTTAAAGAATTATTTTATAGAGCTAGGAAAGATAGTAAAATTTATCTGGAAGAACAAAAGATCAAAAATATTGAGGGAGTAAATGAAAAAAAATGTTAAGGAAGGTAGCCTAGCAATTCTAGATTTCAAACTATATTACAAAGCAGTGATCATGAAAACAATCTGCTACTAAGAAAAATAGTGGTGAAATAGTGGAATAGATTAAGTACATGATACACATTAGTAAAAGACTATGGTAATCTGGTATTTGATAAACCCAAAGATCTAAGCTTTTGGGGTAAAAACTTAACATTTGATGAAAATTGCTGGGAAAACTAGAAAGCAGTTTGGAAGAAACTAGTCTTAGTCCAGCATCTCACACCATATATCAAGATAAGGTAAAAATGTATATATGATTTAGACATAAAGGGTGATAGCGTAAGTAAATTAGAGGAACTTGGAAAAATGTACCTATAAGATATAAGATAAGGGAAGAATTTATGGCCAAAGAAGAGATAGAGGGAATTATGGGAAGTAGTTATATAAAATTTTAAAAAAATTCAAAACAAAACAAAAAAACCTTACATAGACAAAACTAAAAGCAGCCAAAATTAGAAGGAAAATAGGAAAGTGTAAAAAAAATTATAGCAAATTTATCTGATGAAGGCCTCCTTTCTCAAAAAATAAGAAACGGAGTGAAATTTATAAAAAAAAAGCCATTCCCCATTTGATATGAAAGGCTTTGAAAAGGCATTTTTAAAAAAAAAATTGAAGGGGCAGCTAGGTGGTGCAGTAGATAGAGTACTTGCCCTAGAGTCAAGACGACCTGAGTTCAAATCTGGTCTCAGACACATAACACTTACTAGCTCTGTGACCCTGGGCAAGTCACTTAACCCCATTGCCTAACCAAAAAAAACCAAACAAAACTTCCTTTATTTTTGGGGTTTGTGTGTGTGATGTGACATGGCTGGTATGGAGAGGTTTTTCATAGTATCATATATATAATCGAAATAAAATTGCCTGTCTCTCAAGGAGGGGACATGAGAGGGAGGGAGAGAATTTGGAGTGCTCAAAAATTTTAAAAACAATTGTTAAAAATTTTTCACATTAATTGGGAAATGTGTAACAAAATAAATATAAATAATTTTAAAAAAAGAACCCCAAGCCCAAGGTAGCTAGTTTTTCATTTTTGTAATGCACTATTTTGTGAACAAAATTTCAGTACAATAAAATTTGGACAAGCTCTTGGAGTTCTTTATTCAGGATTTAACATTGGACATTAAGTGTTGCTCATAAGCAAAATTATTATCAGTGGTAAGCAAAAATTTTCCAAAACATCAAATTCTATTCTATGTGACTCTGCTATAGATTTCATCAATGTTAAAATGACTTTTCCAATCCTTAAAGAATTTCTGAGTTGTAAAAATGTTTCTAATAGAATTACTTAATTTTTACATGTCATCTCTGTAGGAGCTAAAATCCAACAACACCTGACAAAAATACATAACCATGTAAAGAGGCTTCAACAGCAGTTAAAAGATGTAAAATCTACACCAGAATGTAAGTGACTTATGTTGTACTTTTTGTGTATTAAAAATTATCTTGGGTGGGGGGAGAGATTAATTTATACTTTGAGATATCAGATGTTTTTCTTTTTAGCACTAATTGAGCAAAGACCCATTGTGTAAACAAAATGGAAAGAACAAAGAAAAGTTGTGGGATTAATGTGTGTGAAAATTATGCTATAGTTTATCGTATCTTTATTAGTGTAACAGAACATTTATTGTTAGTTATGATAATGGTCTTACTACAACTAATAGTAATGCTTTCATATCATCCTATGTGGTAAGGCAAGGCAGGTATTTTTCTATAATTTATAGATGGGGAAACTGAAGTACATACAGGTTAGTTTAAATGAGTTACTCAAGATAATTAGTGAACAAATGAATATATTGAGTACTGACTACTAGGTCAGGGTGTTTTCCACTGTTACTTTTTTTTTATTTTGGTGAGGCAATTGGGGTTAAGTGACTTGCCTAGGGTCACATAGCTAGTAAGTGTTATGTGTCTGAGGCTGAATTTGAACTCAGGTCCTCCTGACTCCAGGGCTGGTGCTCTATCCACTACACCACCTAGCTGCTCCCCACTATGTTACTTTTTAAGATTGCTATCTTTTGCTACTGTTCTTGTACTTTAAATTAAGACTTTTTAAATGCAATGAAAGTCAAATTTTTTCTTATAATTTCATATATACTAGTTATGTTGAAGTATAGTAAATGTGATACATTGTTTCCTCTTTTTTATTTTTACAGTTGTTGAAAAACTGAGAGAAATGATGGAAGAAGTTGAAAATGCAATCAATACTTTTAAAGAAGAGCAGAGACTGATGTATGTTTTAAAATATTTTTAAATAATCAGGTTTATTTTCACTCTGTTGTTAATGTTATTTTTAAGACTATACAAAAGCAATATGGCATGACTTAGATTGTTATTCCTTTTTCTAGTGATCACTTTTAATGTGCACATATGTTCAGAGTGAATTTGTAAAAGGCAAGATACATTTTAATGAGACCTTAAAATGTAAATCTTCTCCTCATTTCATTTATACACAGACACAACAAAACCCCAAATCAGTAACCACGAATTTTCTTTCTGTAAGATGTAGTTATTTTTCATGATGCTTCTGAGTTCTTTCCATGTCCAACACTTTCCTATTCGTTTCTTTTAAAATTAAAAGTAAAACAAAACATCTTTCCTTGATTTGACAAACAGAAGCATCCAACAAATACATTCTGCACAATGTACAGACTCAAGAAATACCTACCTGTTTCTTGAAGAAAGTTTATTCATGTGTTACAGACATTAGGCTTTTGAGTACTCTAGAAGGCTTTGGCATCTTTCTTTCTTCACTCCAACTTATGTTTCCAGCATTTTTTTTGCCGTTCTCCTCTGTACCCATCCTTACATTGAAGCCACTGGATATTAAAGTACATGTTGACTTGGTTTGGAGAATATAGAATTTCTGTTTCTTTATCTTGTATTAAGTTTATTTGCCTCTTGTATCAAGAGGCAAAATGACCAAATGTTCACTGAAATGACATTTCTTGTTGCATTTGTATACAAAATAATAGTTTAAAATGTGATTTTTTCTTTCGTTCTCCTCTCCAAGGAGAATCTAGTATCAATCATTGAACTTAGTTGGAAGTCTTTTATTTCCTCTTTTCATTTATAATGTCACTATAGATTGGGTTTGTTTCCTCTTGGAATGTATTAAATTATCATTGGCAAAGATTGTATATTAGGAGCACCAACAGTTAACAATGTTTGTAGATAGATAACTGTATGATTCTAACCTAATTGCTTGTCCCACTACTCTGCCATTATCATTGTAGGAGAAGGGGGATACAATATAGGCTTGAGGGCCATTTTATAGGTGATGCAGTAGATAGAGTGCTCAAGAGGTCTGGAGTCCAATAGACCTGAGTTCAAATACCATCTTAAATACTTACTAGCTGTGTGATTCTGGGCAAATCACTTAACCGCTTTCTGCCTCAGTTTCCCCAACTGTTAAAAGGGGATAAAGAGAGCACTTCACAGGGTTATAATGAGGGTCAAATGAGATAAATTTGTGTTTAGTACAGTGCCTGGCATGTAATAGAGGCTTAATAAATACTTGTTTTCTTCCTTTTCTCCTCTGTGTTGCAAAGGCCCAAATTTGATACCCAGTAGCCAAGCTTTAGGTGATGAACTTTTTGCTTATATGTGGACCGAGTGCTGCTGTAGTCTGGAAAACCTGAGTTCAAATATGGCCTCAGACCCTGGTCAATTCAACCTATTCCCGCCTCAGTTTCCTCATCTGTAAAATGGGGAAAATAGCACCTACTTCCCAACTTGTTGTAAAGATAAAATGAGATAGTTTTTGAAGCAGTTTGCAAAACTTAAAGCATTATATAAGTGCTGGTTATTGTTATTATCTACCCTGCTACTCAGAGAGTAAACAGTCTGTCCGGAAGCCTATTCTTAAAACCTTTCCAGGTTGGCAGAATCTGACAGATTTTGTATTCCCCTGGCATAGATTTTGATATCCCATGGTCCTTTCTACCTCTGGGTCTCAGAGTTGAGCTAGTTCAACCTATACCTATAAAATTCCAATTACTGAGTTTAAAAAAATCACTTTTTTCGTAGATGTTTTTAAAATGTATTATATATTTCTCTGTCTTCTTAAACAGATTATACTGAATGTAACCATCTTCTTTTGATGACTGAGTTTTATCACTATGAGTCTTCATTGTTTTACTCTCTAATGCAGCAATGTCATCAGGGTTTATTGATGTTTACAGAGTGATTTATGGCTATGTTAAGCAGTTTCAAACCGCAATACTTTTTGAGTTCTTGTTTTCTATTTTTATTTTTTCAGTCTCTTTCACTCTTAAGGTGTTAGCTCTCACTTCTTTCTACTGTCATTGCTATTGACAATAGCAACAACTTTCTCTCTCTGCTTCCTTTTTGTCTGTTGCTGGTCTGGGAATGGAGCTAGGACTAGATCTAGTTCATCAGAGATGCATGTAGACACATGGAACAAATATTGCTGGAAACAACAAAATAGAAGCAGTTATACCCAGCCCTGCCATAAACCTCTGAAATTAAATCTGGATAACAACCTGGAACTATGTAAGGGTGGAGGGGAATGGGATCGGGGTGGTGGGATAGAGGGGGAAGGGGGTTGAGCCAAGGAAGTAGAAGAAAACTGTGTCTTATGAAGAGAGAGCACTGGCTCCGGAGTCAGAGAACTTGGGTTCAAATCCTGCCTCTGATGTTTACTACCTGTGTGACCTTAGGTAACTCACTTAACCTCCCTGGGCCTCAGTTTCCTCATCTAGAAAATAAAGGGGTTAGACTATATGACCCTTGATGTCCCTTCTAGTTCTCGGTTTATGAGCTTGTCAGGATAAGAATTATACAGAGATTGGGTGAGGACAGTTAAGAGGAGAGGAAAGGTAAGAATTAGAATAAAGGAAAGTAAATGGAAAGCAGGAGCGTGCTAGTGTAATGGAACTTACCAAAAAAAAAAAAATCACTATCATAGATTTATAGTTGGAAGGGACCTTAGAAGCCAGTTAGTCTAACTCCACTCATTTTACAGATGAGGAAACTGAGGTCAAGAGCCTTTCTCAAGATCACACAGGTATTACATGGATGAAGTCAAATTTGAACCCAAGTCTTTTGATTCCAAGTGTAGTGCTTTATTTTATTTTGTTTTTTTAAGGCAATTGGGGTTAAGTGACTTCCCCGGGTCACACAGCTAGTAAGTGTCAAGTGTTTGGTCTGAGGCCGGATTTGAACTCAGGTCCTTCTGACTTCAGGGCCAGTGCTGTATCCACTGGGCCACCTAGCTGCCCTTCCAAGTGTAGTGTTTTATTCACTACACCATGCTGCCTCTCAGTCAAGGAAAATAAATAGCAAGAGGACATGAGAGCTAGGTGAAGTATAGGGAAACCGAGAGTTAGTTTATAATAAAAATAACATATGTGGAGTTTACATTTACAAGGTAATTTATTTACAACAACTCTGAGGTGTTGTTGATTCATTTTTCAGTTGTGGCCAACTCTTCATGACCCCATTTAGGGTTTTCTTGATGAAGATACTGGAGTGGTTTGCCATTTCCTTCTCCAGCTCATTTTACAGATGTGGAACTGAGGCAAACGGTTAAGTGACTTGCTCAGGGTCACACAGCTCATAAGTGTCTAAGGCCGGATTTGAACTCATGAAGATGAGTCTTCCTGACTCTAGGCCCAGTACTCTATTCACTGTACCATCTAACTGCCCTGTGAGGTAGGTAGTACAAGTATACTTGTTTTATACTTTTGAAAACTGAGACTCAGAGATGTTAAGTGACTTCAAGACTTGAACCCAGTTCCTCAAGAGTGCAAATTCATTGCTCTTTCTTTATCACCATGTTGGAGGATTGACTTGTAAATTTTTTAAAAGCTGACTATTCAAATATTCTTAATTTTAGATATGAAGAACTTATTAAAGAAGAGAAAATAACTACTAATGAACTAAATGCTTTACAGAGAAAAATAGAGACCTGGACATTGAGTAATTCAGGAACAGAGAGACTTTTCAAAGTACCGTCAAGCAGAGTTCCCTTGGATATAGTGATGCCAAATAATCTTCCTGAAGAAGTAGTAGAATTTGAAAAGTTCCTTCAGCAAGCAGGAGGACGACAAGGGGGATGGGATGATTATGATCACCAGTATTTTCTAAAAGTGAGAAATAAGCATAAAGGGAAGCCCAGCTATTTGAAAGAAGTTCTAGAGTATCTACCTGGAAGGACAGAAGATGAGGTTCAGCTGCATGAGAAATGGTATCAAAAATATCTATCTTTAGAAGAAAGAAAAAAAGAGGTAAAACTTTTTTTTATATAGTTTTTTTTTTTTTTTTGTAAAGCTTTTACTCTTTGGATATATTTCTCTTTAGTGACCTTTGGTCAGTCTGTGATTTTTTTTTTTCCTTCACCTCACCTGTCTATAAGCACCCAAAAGCACTCAAAGTAGTAAAATTAAAGCATTAAAATGCTAAATATATTAAAACCTAGGAACTAATATAAGTTTATATTTACATAAAATAAAGTTTATATTGAATTATCAAGGAAAGCATTAGAATTAAAATGAACAGAAAACCCCATTTAGTATGGTTAATTCATACTAATTAATATCCCGTTAGTATAACATACTATATATGTTTGCCATGTATGCCCAAGCATACCCTAATGTCTCCCCCAAAATTGCTTTGCATTTTAATTTATTTGCATGCTATGTTCTTTTAGCTTTAAAACATCTATTATGGGGGCAGCAAGGTGGTACAGTGGATAGAGCACCAGCCCTGGAGTTAGGAGGACCTGAGTTCACAGCCAGCCTCAGACACATAACACTCACTAGTTGTGTGACCCTGGGCAAGTCACTTAACCCCAGTTGCCTCACCCCTAAAAAAAACAACCATCTATTATGGAAGAAAGGCTAAATCATGTGCTCTAGATATTATAAAAATGTATAGAAAGCCCATGTTTGCTCACAGCTTGTACCCCCATTATTGCAGGTTGCTAGTTCTTTACCATTGGTCCTCTCCTCCTCTGACTCCTACATCAGGCATGTCCAATATACATAATCTTTATCACATGTATCCTACTGAAATAGGGCTAAGAAGTGGCTTTGTAATTAAATTTAATCATTTGATACTCTTTTAATTTTAACATATGTATTGGTGTATTGTTAAGATAAAAAAAGGAACCGACAAACCAAAATTTAATGAGTGTGCTTATAATAGTGCAGATACCTCAGACTTCCTGGTTGAGCACTTAAACTTGAAGATCAGTGATGGTATAGTGCCTGCAGCAAACTGAGTAATGACCAACAGAAACAGCCTTTATTCAGGTCATTGTAGGTCTTATTCAGACTCATCAAACATTCCATTTGATCCTTGGTTTATATTAAAAAAATTTAATTAGAACATAAGTCTTGATTCACAAGAGGTCTTTATCAGCCTAAATTGAGCATGTTTTCTAGAAGTAAAATAAGAAACAGAGAAGTTTTCAGTCCAATTGATATGAAAAATACAGATAGAGTATACATAGCCCATCAAAGAATACCCAGCATTTTGCTTTTATTGCCATTTCATCTCCTCTCATTATACAACAAACCAGGGTCACATGCGATCTACCATTTTTTGATAAGGGAATTAGAAACTAGCCTAGAACTAATGTTTTTAAAAACACCAACTGTCAAAATCTCATGTGTTGCACTATTCTTTATCGTATTGTTAGATGAGGGCAAGCAGGTTTATTTGTCTAATCAAGAAGAGTGGTGCTATTATCAGAGTAATGGAAAGACCAACCGAGAGAGCAGAGTAGGAAGAAGCAATACAGTCCAGGTTCCTGCAAGAGCTGCTCCATCACAGCCCTAGAAAAGCAATAGTCCTTCTCCTAATTGGGAAACCCAAGGAAAAATCACAGTGAGCCATTTTTGCATCTCATGTCAGCACAGGGAGACAGATGGAGATCTTCCAGCAGTGGGAACCAGGTCTAGACAGAAGGGCGCCACCCAGACTGCATTACGGTAAGAAGAGAGGGGCCTGATGTAGTGCAGGGTGCAGGAACAAGTACCACTTGACAACTCTATTGCTCATACTCTAGAGCTGCACATCAGATCCAGTGTGAACTGAGAAGGGGACTTCCCCTAGAGATGGGGAACCAGAGTAAGGAGTGATTTACAGGCCTGAGGCTGTGTACTGAGTAGGAAGCGGGAACAGAAGGGAGCAGCAGCTGTGGGACTAATTGTGGAGAGAGGTCTCACATCTAGCCCACAGCTCATAGCTGAGTAACCAGGACAGGGGGCTCAAACCAAGGGAGAGCCTATCATTCTGTCACTGTAGGTTCTGTAATTGTAGGTTGTACACAGTGTTACTGGTTTGAAGAATACAGCAAGAACAGTAAGGTGTAAGAAGATTGTAAAGGTAGGAAAGGGCCGGGGTATGAAAGACTGTGAACCCCAAATGAGATTTTTTATTGTATTTGATTCTGGAGTTTGAGTGGGGAGTAGGGCGCGTGTGCGTATGTGTGTAAGAGAGAGAGAGAGTGTGTGTGTCAGAGATAGACAGAGAGATAATCAGACTTGAGCTTTAGGAAAATCACTTTGGTGTGTGGAATGGAAAATGAATTGGAGTGAGGAGAGACTTAGGACAGGCAGACCCACCAGCAGGCTATTGCAACTATTTAAGCATGATTAATAATTGACCTGGACCAGAATGATGGCCTTGTTAGAGGAGAGAAGAGAGTATATTTGAGAGAGGTTAACAATGGTGAAATCAGCAGGCCTTGGCAATGGATTGTGGGGCTGGACACCCTGGCAGTGAAAGTGAAAGTCTTTTTGAAAGAAATCTCTTAATAGTCTGTCCTTTGTTCTGTTAACTCAATAAATGTCTTTCACTTCGATTTTTAAAAATAATTTCTAGAGGTAGGGTAATTTATTTCTTTTCTTGTCCTTTGTTTTATTTCGTTTTCTTTCATATGTTCCTGTTGTTTGGAACGTATGTAAGTTGAATAATCTGCTCGTGTCTTTTTTTTTTTCAGGAATGTTTCAAATCCCTTTCTTTTGCTAAATGTCTTTTTTCTTTGATAATTACATCTGGTTTGCAGTTTATGTCATTTGTGGGTTGCATCTTGAACTTTTGTTTTTTGGGAATATATGATTCCTTTCCTTTTCCTGTATCTGATAAGTACAGAATACTCTTCTATTAATAGAATTTCCTCTCTTTTATGTTGGAAAATCTTTTTCAAGGTCACTTGCAAAAATTTTTGTTTTTCACTGGAATTGTTAAATTTAACAACTATTTGCAGCAAAGATTTTTTTCCCCCAGAGACAATCTGTGGATTCTTTTGATTGGTGTGTGTACATATATATATATTTGTACTTAAAAGTTCCGGGCAATTGCTTTGCTGTTATTTCTTGCATTATGGTGTTCAGATTTTTTTACATGTTATGTTCTTCCTTACCTGATTTGTCTCTACATATCCTCTCTTCAAAGTCAGTGTGTTTTGCTTATTTAGATATCATTTATTCTTTTAATGTTACTACTTTTTGCTTTTCTTTTTCCAGATTGTCTTTCACTTTGGGATATTTGTATTCCCAATCAGTTGTCTTCTCTTTTGCTTCTTTGGAGATACACTACTGTGTATTCAAGTTTTTCCCTTTGGCTAATTATTCCTGTTGTACTGACCATAAATTCACTCACTTGTAATTTTGTGCCCAGAACAAGAATTGATTTCATCAATTCATCATAATGATGTGATTGAAGAATTTAAGTCAATTCAATTCAATAAACATTTATTAAATGCTTACTGTGTACCAGACACTGTGCTAAACCCTAGGAATTAAAATAATAAAAAGAAAGTCCTTGCAGTCAAGAAGTTTATAGTCTAGTGGGGATAGACCACACAAAAAAGTGGTGGGGGCTTTCAGGAAGTGGGGTGGGTCTACAATGGGGTAACCTGTGTGCCCAAAACCAAACAGAACTGCTGATGGAAAGTGGAGAATTACTAGGAAAGTTCGGATTCCAGCCCTTTAAAAAGGGAGACTTTGGGAAAAGGTTATTGTTCTATCCTCAATCCCACCAATCAGAGGGGAGAGGCACTGAGGGAGTTGAAAAGGTATTTGGTATCAAAACTGAGTCAGTGTGCATGATGATGAGATTTCAGGTGATGAGTTTATCCTGACTGGGGCATGATATTCTGTAGAGTGGAAACCAAACAGAGCTGATTGGAAAGTGTATGGGAAGCAGAGAGTCAATAATACTTGAACAACATCTAATATGGTGGGTTAGGAATGTAAGCAACTTTAATTTGTTTTGGTCACTTTGGATTGGCTAATCTTATTAAAGATAAAGATCTTGAAAATTGACTGTCTTTGGATGACTTGTTTATCACAAAGCAAAAATATGATATTTCGCATTTCATTTTAAAAGTTTGTTATTTTTAAAGTTTGTTAATTTTTTAAATTAAGTTTAGTTAATTTTAGTTTTTTAAATTCATAAGAATAATGCCCATTATGATTGAAGGTTCAATAGTATTTTTCTTTTTAAAAAGATTATCTTGATGGACACTCATGAAATATTTATTTATATATATGATTATTACCAAGCCTTCTGAACCAAAAATCAGGACACATGGTGTGACAAAGGATTTTTTTTGGTCATTTGGTTTGAGGTTGTGGGGCATAAGAAGGGAACAGTAGAACAGACTATTTCAAATCAGGACCATCTTGGAAAATCCATCTGTAGTTACCAATAGCCATAAAGCATTTAGTTACTAGATATTTGATGTGGGATATTTATCTTTTTTAAAAAGTATTTTTGATGACAAAGTTGAAGAAACTTTCTTACTTCTCAGAAATGACTTTAGTTTCTCACTTCAAATTAGCAAGGCCAGTTATGTTAAATTCCTTGTTAATTAATCTCAGGAAATCGAGGTGGACTTTTCTTCTATGAGATGTAGCATTTCTAATCTAGTCAGTCCTGTGTTTTTAGTAATCTGCCAGGCTCGGGCATGGGTATTTTTAATTGGGCTGTAATAATGATAATAGCTAACATTTACCTAGTGCTTACTATGTGCCATGCACTGTGCTATCCTCCCAGCAGTTGTAGGAGGAAAGTGCTATTATTATCATCCCCATTTTACAGATAAGGAAACTGAGGCAAACAGTTTAAGAGACTTGTCCAGGGTCACACAGCTTTTAATTGTCTGAGTCTAGTTTTAAACTGAGGTCTTGCTGATTCTAGGCCTGGCACTCTTTCCATTGTATCATCTAGCTTACCCTGGGGGAGGATTATGTGTATATGTGAACTTAATGAATTCTGAAGGCTGCTTCATTAGTGTCAATAACTTTTAAATAGTTATAGCATATATTTTTCAAATGTTCCTATTTTAAAAAATAAAATGCTTTAAAAATACTTGGTAAAATTCAGCTTATGGCCTGTTTCTGCCAACACATATGCCCATTTTGGAATGTTAAATATTTGTCATAGACTTGGATATTAAAACATGTTTTTCTTGTCTATTGGGTAGTTTGTTGCCTGACCTATTGCTTCAGATTTTGTTCCTTTTTGTTTCTCGGTTTCTCCTTTTTCTTAAAGATATAGTTTTAATACTCTCTTCTGTTTGCCTCCTTGGTGATAATAACTAATAAACCTCTTTCCTTATTAGTCAAAGACTGGTTAGAAAATACTTCAGAATTGTCAGCAAAAGTCATTGTAAATGATGATATAGTAAGTTCATGATATTCGTCAGCTAGTCTAGAGAAGTCAGGCAGAACAAATTTTAACTTTGTCTGAATACTCTAATTAAAGTTTCAGAATATCGCTGATTCGTACACAATGGACTTCTGAAGTGAGTTCCATCTTTTACTCAGTATCTATATAAGGCCTTTGGGTTGTTTCTCAGTGGATAATGGGTATGTTGTACCTAAGCTTCTGAAAAGAATATTAAGGATCATTAATAAATGCTGTTTTATGATGATGACTCAGATGTTAGTAATTATGTTGTATCTATGAGTAATTGCTTGAAATGTTATGAGAAAATATAGCTTATTTTGTTATTAATTATTAGGAAAGTAGCTAAATTAAATGAAGATCAACTTTCAATATTTTAAAAATGTTTTGATAAACATAATATTTTAAAATACTTAAATAAGTTGCTGAAAATTTTGGGGTGGGAAGGGGTCTTCCAGAGTTTTCAGAACCTGGAACCATCCTATACAATAATTTTGGATCTTTAAAGATGCTAAAGATTGTTAATTTTATATAAAAGTCACATTTACAATGCCTATCAGAGTGACTTATACACAGCAGTTACTCAGGTATCATGTTGAATGATTTTGAATCTGACTTCTAAATAAATTACTCATAGTTTTTTCAGACTAAAATGTATTTGATGTAGTCTTCAAAAGCCTTAAGTAGTTGTCTCAAAACTGAACATGAACTATAACATAAAGTTAAAATGAGAAAAGAGATCATAGGATCATAAATCTAGAACTGGAAGGAACCTCAGACGCCATTGAGTTCAACCTTCTTATTTTAAAGTCCAGGAAATTGAGTCCCAGGGAGGTTAAGTGACTTGCTTATAGTTACAAGACATGTCAGAGGGTTAGGATGAATCCAGGTCCTCTGATTTCCAGAGACAATGCTTTTTCACTGTCAACAGTCATTCTTCAAATAATGGTAAACATGTTGTACACCGTGAAGAAAGATCTAGAAAGCAATATTAAAGATCCGGAGAGAGTTTAATGTATTCTATTCAATTAAAAGCTAACATTGGTTGGGTTAATACTAAACTTTTATATAATAATTGAGTTATTTCACTATTGATTCCTGATACAGCATCAGACTAGAAGACACTCACAGAAAAGAAACTCCAGAAAAGAGATTTGGAAATAGGAGTGAGATGACTTGATGAAGGGAGTATAGCCTATAAAGTGCAAAAGGAACAAGCAGAAACATAGAAGAACCTAGCTAAGGTAGTAGACAGCAAACTGAAGAAGAATTGAAAAGTATGAAGTCTATTAGGAGAGGTGGCCCAAAGAACCAACAGAATTTATAATCAGTACTGTAAAAGTAAAACAAGACAAGTTCTCAACATGGTTATGAAAAAAGTTTGCATTTTAAAAAATAAAAGCCCACAAAATAATTCTAAAATTCAACCAAATAAGAATCCTGTGTAGTTTTTTCCGGAAATACAGGGTAAGACTTTATAGTTTGATCACCTGAGATTTAAAGTAAACATACATTTACTTTTTTTTTTAAACCATTTAGGCTATTCAGAAATGGAAAACAAAGAAGCAGCAAGAAAAAAAAGAAATGTTGGCGTGGAAAGAAAAGTCAGAGGAAGTACTTATGACTAATGATCTTCAGCAAGAAGAGTCCTCAAAACAAAAAGAGGAGCAGAGAAAGAAACAAAAATTGGCAGTTGAAGCCTGGAAAAAGCAGAAAATGATGGAATTATCTATGAAACAAGCATCTCAATTAAAAGAAGAAGAGGAAAAAGAGAGAAAACAACAGAGAGAACATCAGCGCCAATTTTACCTAAAATTACTGCTAGAAAAATATACTCAGCAGAAGAAAGAACAGAAAGAATTGTTGAAACTTGAAAAGGAGATGAGGGAGAAGACTGAAAGGGAAGAAAGAAGAAAAATGGCTACAAACGAAATTATTAGGTTTCAAGAGAGAGTAAGTATATATATATGTGTGTATTTATACATATATTTACATTTTATGTATATGTGTGAATATATGTGTGTGTATGTATGTGTGTGTGTGTATGCACACTTGGTGTGTATGTAGATAAAATCTCTCCTAAATAGTTTCCCCCTCATTATCATGTTCTCTTTTTTCGAAATACCTTTTGTGGATACCTGTTGTCTTAACATCAGAATCTGGGTGGGGGGGATTTCTCCCCTATTAAAAAAGGAATCTAAGAAAAAATGCCCATTATTTCCAATAGTCATACCTCTTTTGACTATATATAAATATATATACACACACGTATGTATATGTGTGTAAATGATATGTTATAATTATGTTATATACACATGTAATTATATTATATGCTATATATTGTATATACACACACACACATACATATATAAATATAAATTCTGCCTTACTAGTCCCCTGTCCTTCTACTATACAGAGGGAGGTATTTAATTTTCTGAGCTTCAGGCCCATCATTGGTTTTTTATTTCATTTTAGTGATTTTTAAATTTACATTGTCACAGTCATGCATATTCTTTTAATGAGATTTCTGGGTCAAAGGATGGACATCTTAATTACTTTTATTACATAATTCCATATTGTTTTCTATAGTGATTGGACCAATTGATAGGTCCACTAATAATGCATTTGGATGCACACCCTATAGAATTTGTCCAAAAATACATATTTGTGGGACAGACAGTACAGATAGACAATGAGCTGGGCCCAGAGTTGAATAGGAGGAGAGGAGAGTGTGATGGATTATTTTTGGGGAATTACAAAGTTATTTTACTAAACCCAAGCTTCCTGTGAAAGCAAAGATCCATCTTTTCCATACTGACATTTTATTGGTATTGCTGTATGGCAACAAGACATGGAATACCACTACATCTAAAGAACTGAAGATGAGTGTTACATTGAGGGCAGTGGAGAGGTACGTCATGGATGTGAGCAAACTACAATACGTAACCAAGAAGTGACTTTAGAGAATAAGATTAAACAGGGATTTTTATGATAGGAGGAGAAGACAGGCTGATCATGTGGCAAGAGGAAGGTTTGCCAAGTACTGCTTCACTAGTACCATTGGGACAAAAAAAGGGACTCCTCCCGTGTGTTAGATCAGCCTCTTCTGGTCTACTTTTTTTTTTTTTTTTGGCCTAGGCAGTGGGATGAAGTGACTTGCCCAGGTTCACACAGCTAGTAAGTGTCAAGTGTCTGAGGCCAGATTTGAACTCAGGTCTTCCTGAATCCAGGGCTGGTGCTCTATCCACTGCGCCATCTAGCTGCCCCTTCTGTTCTATTTTTGGTTGCATGGGACAGGAAAGCATATATGAGTTTCAAATTACATCACTGGAGAGAATTTCCAAATCAATTAAATCCCAGGTCCATCTACTCTATAGGAAGTTCATACCAATGCAAGTTGAAATATGGACAATAGACCTTCTACTTCATTTTTCCTTTGTGGTTACATAGGCCAAACTTATTTGTGTGATTATCAATCTCTTCCAAGAATCTCTTGAGGTTCTGGAACTTGATGCAATCAGCTCAATGTCATCCACAAACAGGATCATCAGGAGTATTTCCCCATCCACAGGGAATTTCTCTTTGACCTAGTCTCTGTACTGAACTCCATCACAGAGATAAATACCTTTGACAAACATGCATCATCCTGTTTGACTACTAATAGGTTTTACTATTTGATTGAATGGTTAGCTAACACTGGAAACGATATTGATCTGTGAAGTTGTTCTTGACTGTACCCTTGAATTACTACTTACCAAAATCAGTATAAATTAAGTCGATTTGCTTCTTAGTAGTCTAAAATAGAATTCCTTTTGTTTTTACTTCTAGTTGGAAAACAAACACCATAATTGGTACTTTGAAGAAAAAAAATAAGTTTTCTGTGAATTGAAACTAATTATGACTCTACATGATAGCCAGAAACATTATAATCTATATTAGACTGTTACTTAGTCCACTAAAATAAAAATCTTCAATTGAGTTTAAAAATTGTGTGCTGCCATCTGGTTCTGTTAAAATTGCCCGCCTGTTAAATGATAACTTTGAAATCACCTAAAAGATAACTTCCCTACCATGAAGTTGAAGATATATGTGGGAATGAAACAAGACCATTAGATTAGGAATCTAGGGAGAACTTTTTTAGTTGTACAAGTACTAACCTTAAAGGGACAGGTAATTTTAGCTTGGTAGCATGTTAATTTCATTGGTGGTTGTCACATTCCAAGTAGATCTCAATGGTTTTATAGTATACCTTCTAGGTTGCTCAATTCTTTTGACAAAATTTGGTTCATTAGAAAACATTACAATATATCCATGTATCAAAAATTTAAAGCATTAATCTCCAAAGATATTTGAAGGTCATTTAAAAATCTTAGAATCATGTAATATTAGAGCTAGGAGCAGATGAGAGGTTTGATTTAAATGACCTCTCATTTTACAAAGGAGGAAATTGAGACCCAGAAAGAGGAACTGACTTCGACAGATTATTCAGCTATTAAGTGTAGGAGTCAGAATTAGAGAACCCTTAACTTCTAGTTCAAGCAGCAAACAACTAGACTTTAAAGCCAAATTTCTTTGTAATTTTCCTTGCCTTCAGAACTCATCTCCTTTTTTTTTGTATTTGTTCTTCAGGATTTACATAAACTTGAATTAAAAATTCTGGAGAGAAAAGCAAAGAAAAAGGAAATGACAGAAAAAGAAAGAAGATTGGCAAAATTAAGAAAAAAGGTACTGTATCCTAGGACTATATCTGAGTTTCTACTTTATAAAAATCTTAAGCAATGTTATCCTTTTTTTTGCCCCTTTATAAAGATGTAGACATAAAACACTTAAAACTCACATTTACTTCTTTGGCTTTATTTCCTTATTGTACTGCTTTTAAAGTTTTTAACTGCTTGCCCAAGTAGAAAAAGCATAGTATAATGCAACTAAGGAGGCAACATCCTTTTTTCCTTCCTTTTTTCCATACTTACCCATACCTTAGACTTGCCAGTCATACTTTTTTGCCATATAAATGGTATTGCTTAGCTCCTCTGATATTACTGTCGACTAATCAGATTACTAACTGCTAGTGGGTAAAGAAGAGGACTTTTCTAATCTTGTACATAAAAAAAGGGAAATTTGATTTCTGGTCCTGTCATCACTTATTTTCCTATGTAAAGAATATAGCTATATTCACATCAATGTCAATTTCTATTTGCAAAACTCTTTTCTGTGATCCTTATCACCAATTTGGAATAGCCCTGTGGTTAGAGGTACTAGATAAATTATAAGGAAATGAAAGTCTTTAAAAAAAAAACGCCTTAAACTTTATTTTGAGGGAGAAGTAGAAGAAATATACCAGGTATTTAAAGGTAACTTTTATTATTAAGTTGCTATTGTATAATTAGAAAGCCTTGATTTTCAAAATAATAAACAATCGTAGCCTCTCTTCTTTAGGAAAATAAAGTAGTCACTTGAAGAACATAAAAGTGATTACTTGTTGAAAGGCTTCTATTGAATTTTTATTAATGTTTAGTTTTTATGAAATTGCTTTCCCTGTTTAATATCCTATTATAAATGTATAATTATAAATTTAGTAGTTAATATAATTTAATAGGTCATAATTTTATTTTCCTATTGACAGGTTGAAGTTAATGTTAGTCGGGATCCATCCAGGTTGTACAAACTTACCAAAGGATGGGAAGAACGTACAAAAGAGAGAGGTTCAACAGGCACAGGGCCTCTTCTGCATTTACCACATAGGTAAAAAATATATAAATGAAGTTTAAGGCTTTTCTTAAGGTCTTTTTCATTTCCTTATAATGTATGTACTACTTCTCTCCACAGGGCTATTCCCACCTGGAGACAAGGATTATAGAAGAGAATTTAACAAATAAAAATTACCATCCAATTAATATGAATATTGGTATAATGCTTTACACAGGAAAATAAATGATTTATAAACAAAGTGACCACTTATGTTCAGAAATTATCATTTTCCTTGTTTAACAGTTAGTATAAATTGTATAGTGCTTGATTGTTAGATCTTTAGGTATATGCTGGCAACTACCTTTTTTACTGTTTTATCCTAGGAAGATAATTGTGTTCCTGTTGAAATTTTTATTTTGCAACAGCAGATTGAAAGGGGAAAATAGAAATTTAAATTATTGTAATTTAAGCACATGAAATAAATAAGTGGACTTTTCATCTCATGTCTTCATTATGCAAAATGGGAAAACTATATTTGTATGGCTATTTGAAAAATTTTAATACATTTTAAATGGATGCTAGCTTATATTATTAACACATTTAGGAAATGCAAAGGAAGGCATTAAAATTGGGAGGCAACATAGCAGAGATAAAAGAGGGCAAATTTGGAATGAGAGGAGCTGGGTTCCCAGTTCTGCCACTTACATTCTGTAATGTAAGTCTGTAATAAGGTAAGTCCCTTAATGTTCCTAGGCCTCATTTACCTCATCTGTAAAATAATAGAGCTAGACTCAATAACCCGCACTGTTCCTTCCACCTCTGATGTAGTGACTTCTACCCTGGATATCTTAAATAAATAGGTGGCATTTTTATGAAATAAAGTTTTAATATTTGTTTTATGTTCATTGTTATTATAACTGCGACCTAGACAATGTGGATCCATTACTTTGAGTATGTATAATCTCTCCTGCTTAGTACCATCATAAGTTAATATTCTGGAAGCCTGCTTCTAAGCAGGCTTGTGTAGTGGAGTGCCCTGTCTTCCACTTCAGAGCATGGGCAAGTAATCTCTGACTGTCCTCTACTTTGTGATATTTTTTAAAAAATCTTTTAATTGGCTGCTGAGTTGGAATTGGAACATACCAAAAGCACAGACTGACAAAATAGCTTTTCTTCCTGCTGTCCAGGAGATAGGAATATAACAATAGGACTAACCCTAATTTTATATGCACATTCAGCTGTTTCATCATTCAATTAAAAGGCTTTTCTTCACTTTGTAGTAAGGGACAGGCAGGAAATAGTAAGAGTCTACATGCGTATGCTTTCAAGAGGAGATCAGGACCGTCCATTACACATTCCTGAAAACAGCTTCCCCAAGGATTCATGTGGGTTGTTTGGCACCCTGTAGATCAGACTGTGTATGCTCAAAGGTCTGGGCCCGTATTTGACAGTAAGACATTACATTTTTAAAAAGCTTCCTTGAAAAATTATTTGAAATAGTGACCAATTATGAGCAAGGTGGCATAGTATATAGTGTGCTGGATTTGGAATGAAGAAGACCTCAGTTCAAATTATGCTACAGATAGTTACTAGCTATGTCACCCTGTGTAGGTCATTTAACCTCCCTCAGGCTAAGTTGGTAGTTAAGTGGCACAGTGGATAGTGTTGGGCCTCAAGTCAGGAAGACTCCTTACTAGCTAGCTACTAGACACTTACTAGCAGTGTGAGCCAGGGCAAGTCACTTAACTCTATTTGGCTGGGTTCCATACCTGTAAAATGAGCTGGAGAAGGAAATGGCAAACCACTCCATTATCTTTCCCGAGAACACCCCAAATGGGGTTACAAAGAGTCAGACACAACTGAAAAATGATTGAACAACTACCACAAACAGGCTCAGTTTCTTTATCTGTAAAATGAAGAGATTAAATTTAACAGCTTCAAAGGTCACTTCTGGCTAAAAAAATCTATAGATTTGTCTAATGTCTGACACAATATTTTGTGCTTTGTTCTTTTTTGGCTTTCTTTTTAGCTATTCCAATCCTCCCTTTAAGCCTTTCTCCTTGTTGAGAATTAGTGGATGAGGATGAGACCCTGAGTAGTAGAAGGTTCTCAGCTATCTTTCTGCCCCATTTTCTCAGAGTGAGGGCATTCTTAGGTAGAGGGACTTTAAGACCTTGTACTGTGTTCCCCAGGAAGGACGTTTTTACCAGTAGGTACCCAGTTAATGTGAAGCCAAATCAGTAAGTCATTGTTTGGATATGCATAGCTAACTACTGATGTGACATTCCTTTTAGAGTAAAGAATATTTGGCCTATTGTTAAATTATAATCTTTCTCTTGGTTGTTAATTTCTTTCAATTAACATTTATTAAGCGGCTACACTACCATATTCCAGGCACTCTGAGAGAAAGGCAAAGACAAAAACAAATCGGTCTCATTCCTTAAGAAATTTACATTCTTAACCACATGAGCATATGTATAAATTCATACAAAACAGGTACAAAGGATGGGAGGAAGTGTGGTATGGTGGAAAGAAAGCTGAAGTTGGAATCACTGGACTGAGGCTCAGATCCCAGCTCTGCCACTTACTTGCATGTGTGACCATTGGCAAATTACTTCACCTTCCTGGACCATGGTTGATTAATCAGTAAAATGTGGGGACTAGATAATCTCTAAGGTCCCTTCCAGCTATAAATCTGTGATAGTATGAAGATACTAGCATCTGGGGTGACTAGAATTGGCTTCATATTGAAGGTGATCCTTGAATTGAGTCTTGAAGGAAACTAGATATTCCAAGAGGTGAATGTTAGAAGGGAGTACATTCTAGACATGGAGAAGAACCAGTGCAAAGTCATAGAGACAGGAATGTTGTGCTCAAGGAATAGCAAGACCAATTTGTTTGAATAACAGTGTATGAAGGAGGAGAGTAATGTATGCAAAACCTGGATGGGGCCAGTTTGTAAAGAGTTTTAAGTGCCAAAGGAGTTTTTATTTTATCTTGTTGGTAATAATAATAACAATAGTGATGATAATAACCAGCATTTATATGGTGCTTTAAGGTTTGCAAAGTGCTTTACTTACGTTATCTCATTTGATCATCCGAGAGTCACTATAGTTTACTGAGTAGTAGAGGTGGCATTTTCAGACATATACAATATGGTCAGAAAGTTGGGAGGGATAGTGAACACAGAAGATGATCAGATCCAGAAAAAAAATCTTGACAGTCTTGAGCACTGTACAGAATCTAATAAGGTGAAAATCAGCTCTCTTCAGCCCATTCAAACAAATGAAGACCATTCTAAGTGGCCAGATTGTTGACATCCCAGAAAATGTTGACATCTCTCTGAAAGAATCCCACATAGCAATTTTTCCATCTGATCAGTGTTGAGCTTAGTCTCCTTGGTAAGAACAGAAAACAGTTCACCACATGTGGCCCAGAAGTCAGGGAACTTGTAACAGTTCGTGCAATCTACAGTAAAATGCCAAATATGATCAAAGGCATTACCATGGATTTTTCATTCAAGATAAGGTCTCACTTTCCTATTAATATTGTTATTGAAGAGAATGGTTCACTTATTTAAATCAGAAGCTCCTTGGGTGAAAAATATATCTGAAGAGTACCCCAACATGAGACCAGGTATTGTTTGTCTCATATACTTTTTTTTTTTTGGCTAGGCAACGGAGTTAAATAACTTGCCCAGGGTCACACAACTAGTAAGTGTCAAGTGTCTAAGGCCAGATTTGAACTCAGGTCTTACTGAATCCAGGGCAGGTGTTCTGTCCACTGTGCTACTTACCTGCTCCTATTGTTTGTCTCAAGCCCCAAAAGTTAATTCTTGAAGGAAATGATAAGAACTTGTATCAAACTCAGCTGTTCTGATCCAAATCAAATCAACAAGCATTTATTAAGTGCTTACCATGTTCTAGGGACTGTGCTAAGGGCTGAGAATACAAATGCAAGCTGAGAGAAAGACAGTCCCTGCCCACTCACATTCTAATAGGAGAAAATAAGTTGGGGAGTGGGGTGAAGAGAGGGGAATGATAGAGAAAAACCAATTCAGGCCATGGCAGTAACAGTAAGGCTATCAGAAAAATTTTGGATAAAATCTGTTCCTGAGAAAGATGCAGGCTGATAGTAAGTAGGGATGCTAAAGACAGCCTCTTGAGGACTTAACTCGGTCATAAGAAAATACATTTGGTCATTTGGGGACTTTATCCTTTTAAAAAATCTGTTGCTGCCTTGAAAGATAAAATTTCATTTTAAAATGTGTTGATCTAAGCCAGTGGTACAAGTAGAGGCAAGAGTCCATGAGTTCTTGAAGATGAAGCACAAATTCTGGGAGGTGTTTCCACTAAGTTTTGAATAGGGGACTTTTTTTTTTTTTGACAGACAGCACAAGTTCAAAAAATCTTCCTGCCAAGTTTGTTGTCTACTTCTTCACTGTAATAAAAATGATTACTGAAAAAGGATGAAATTTGAAAGAAATAAATATAAGCACTTATAATTGGTCACAATTAATTTCACAGGTACAAGATAGGAGAAATTCAGTTAACATTTGTTACAAAAAAGATTTAAGGGTTTTATAGAACTGTAAGTTCAATAGGAGTGAATGATGTGATGTAGCAACCAAAAAATAATTAATATAATCATGGCCTAGATTAAGAGAGGCCTGGCTTCGAGGATGAGGGTGGTGATAGTCTCACTGTACTCTGTCCTTGTCAACCCTTGCAGCATTGCATTCTGTTCTGGACCACAGTTTAAGAAGAGCATTGATTAGCCAGAGAGTCTGCAGTGGAGGGCAATCAGGTTGGTGAAAGGTCTTGAATATTTGTAATATGCAGATTAATTGAAGGAACTGGGAAATAGAGAAGTGAAGATTCAAGGGAGACATGATACTTAAAGTGTTTGAAGGACTGCCCAGTGGAGAGGAATCTGATTATATGTTTAGTCTCAGAAGGCAGAGCCAGGAATAATGGGTGGAAATTGCAAAGAGGCAAATTTAGGTTTAATCTTAGGAAAAACTTTAGACAATTAGAGCCCAAAATGGAGTCCAAAAATGGAATGGCTTGCCTTGAGAAGCAGTGGCTTCCTTGGAGGTTTTCAAGTAGAGGCTTCATGACCACTTGTCTGCTATGTTATTGCAGAAATTTCTTCACCTATAGGTTGGACAAGAAGGTTTGCTGATGTCCTTTCCAATTCTCAAATTCTGTGATCCTACTGTTATTAATACTATATGAAAATCATTTTGGTAATTGGGTAAGATGAATTGGAGTTGGTGTGGGGAAGTGCTGAGTCAGGGAGATAAATCAGGAGACTATTATTATAGTAGTTCAAGAGGTGAGTGAAGGGGACATTTGTGAAATTTTGTGAGGATTTTTGGTGTTATTCAGTTGTTTGAATTGTGTCTGACTTTTTATAACCCCATTTGGGGCTTTCTTGGCAAAGATAACTGGAATGGTTTGCCTTTTCCTTTGCCAGTTCAGATTACATAGGAGGAAACTGAGGCAAACAGGGTTAAGTGACTTAACCAGGGTCACACAGTAAGTGTCTGGCCAGATTTTAACTCAGAAAAATGAGTCTTCCTGACTGTAGCCCCACTGTACCACCTAGCTGTGGAGAGTGAGGAGTTCATAGTGACACTAAGGTTGTGAACCTGAGTGACTAACTAAGAATAGAGGTCCCCGTGACAATTATAGGGAAGTTTGGAAGAGGGTTAGTGGTTTTATGGGGAAAGATGAATTTTTGTTTTTAAAAAACAAGTTGATTTTGAGGTAACTCCAGGACACCTAGTTTGAAATGTATGACAGTTGATGATGTGGAACTAGCACTCTGGAAGTCAGCTGCATAGAGATGATAATTAAAACCATGAAAGTTGGTAAGGTCAACAAGTCAAGAGTGTGTAGGGAAAAAAGAGGGCCAAGACCTTTTGCAGACTTAGTCCCTGTACCTGGTATCTCATCTCAGGCAACAGGGTTCTTAAGCAGGAATCACGTCTGTCTTTTAGGAAGATTAACAGTTGTCTGAAGGAGAGGAGAAAGAATGGAGTCAGAACAGTTAGGAAACTTAACATAAGTAGGAAAAGATGAACCTTTGATTAAAAGATAGTGGCAAAGAGTGGAGAGGATGGATTTGTGGTGGGAACAGAACCTTACTGATTGATATGAGTATAAAGGAAGAGAGAGGGAAGATTCAATAAAGTCTCTGCAGTTCCAAGTCTTAGTGACAGAAAATACCATGAGAAAGAGCATCAGATTTTGGACATTTTGAGTTGTAGACAATCCGTAACATCCAGATGGAGATAACAGAATCATAAAAAGAGTTGAGAAGGGACTTTAAGGATGTCTAGGCCAACCCCCTGTTTTTACAGATGAGGAAACTGAGGCCCAGAGAAATTCTTTCTGTCAGCATTTAGCTGGAATTGCAAGATTGGAGCTCAGGAAAGAGATGGATATATAGATTTAGAAGTCATTTATATGGAGTTAGTTGTGAGAATGGAGGATATTTCCAAGACATCGAAGGTGACCATAGTGCTTTGGAGGACACTTGTATTTAATGGGATTGGAACCCATAAAAGATATCAAGACGCTGTTAGGTAGAAATATCAGGCAGGAGAGACATTCGTGGTGCAGAAGAGTAAAATTCAATCCAGCATTAATTAAGGTCCATTATATGTAAGGCACAGTGTTAGATGCTAGACAAAGAAGGACAAAAATGCAACAGATACTTTTTCTCAAGGAATTTATGTTCTGATATGAGGTGGAAATTCAAAACAAGGAAAATTGAGGAGAAAACATGAACTGGAGGCATCAGGGTAAGCCTAAGAGAGGTGGTAAAATAGCTAATTCTTGAAGGAAGACAAGGATACTTGGACAGGAAGATGAGGTGGGGGAGTACAATCAAGAAATTGAGGAGGTCCCAGAGGCAAGAAATGGGAGGGAGAGTTCAGGAAGTGGAGTGGTATGAGTTAAAGTAGATGACAACCAAATTGTGGAGGGCTTTATATTATTTGCATTTTGTCCTAAAAATAATGGGGGGCTACTGCAAGTTTTTGGTGTGGTATTGAGTGGTATAGTCAGACCTGTGCCTTAGAAAGATTATTTTGACAAGAAAGATGAGGACTGAGCAAAGTATTTGGTGATCAGATCACTGCTGACCTCAGAATGAACAATTTCCAAAGAGTGGTAGAAAGACAAGTCAGATTGCTGGGGATGGAGGAGGTAATGCTGGGGAGGAGGGGAAGGCAGGGAGGTCAGCTGTTGCTGTTCAGTGTGTCAGACTCTTTGCAACCCTGTGGACCATACTGCCCATGAACTTTTCTTGGCAGATACTGGAGTGGTTTGCCATTTCCTTCTTCGGTGGATTAAGGCAATCAGAGGTTAAGTGACTTTGGAAAGATCACACAGATAGTAAATGTCTGACAAGGTTGGACTTGAAATCAGGTCTTCCTGACTCCAGGTCCCGTGCACTAGCCACCGGGACACCTAGCTTCCCATTAATTTAGCAGTCCAGATTGTTAAAAATGTGTGTGTGTGCTTTGTAGAATGGCGGAATTGGCTTTAGAGTAGGCAAGATCAGCACAGGCTTGGTGCCCTTGGACAAGTCACTTCCCCCTCAGAATTCTAAATTGCATAAGTTACTGACTCTGGAAGAAGGGAGAGGGAGGGAACATGGGGGGATGGTAGGGAAGGGAGAGCTAGCTGAGCATGTCTGTAAACGGGAGGAGCTACCTAAAATGGGATGGAGTTTTCTCAAAATCGTTTCTGTGGTTAACTTAATTCGAAGACTAGAATTGTTAACATTTTCAGGCCCCTGTAATTGCTTGGGGCAAAAACCAGCCAATGAGGTGGGGTGGGGTGTTGTTCATGAGGTTACACAACAGTTCGCACGCCCAGCTCTCCACACGTGGGCCGAGGGCTTGAAATTCTTGGGGGAGAAGCCCCAGCCTCGCACCTCGTGCTCGGTCGGGAGAGTTTTAAACTTTCTACGGTTCAAAGGCAACCAATGAGACACCTTCCCGGCTCCTCGGGCGTCATGTGACGGCAGGGTCGGCGCTGGGGGGGAGGGGCGGGACTTCTGCCGAGGTTGAAAAGCTTCCGGTGAGAGGCGTGGTACTTGATACGGAGCAAGATGGCGGCGGAGGGGGAGCGGTTGACCTTGGTTGACGGAGATGTGGAGCGGCTCGATTTCTTACGGGACCGGCATGTCCGATTCTTCCAGCGCTGTCTCCAGGTGTTGCCCGAGCGCTATTCTTCCCTCGAAACGAGCAGGTAATCACTGCCCGAGGGAGGCTTGGCGGCCGCGGTTGGCATTTTCCTGGGTCTGAGCGCTGCGGGGGAAGAGGCTGTGGAGCTGGGCGAGGGCCTCGGTTCTGCGGCGTCTCAGCGACGTGACCTTAGGCAGGCCACCTGCTGTGTGTCAGGCACTGGTCAGGCGTGCAGGGATTCAGGCCACTCGATACGTATTTACGGGAGCCCAAGCGCTGAGGATACAAAGAGAGGCCCAGAAAACGCCTGATCCCCCGGAGCCCACGTCAGGGGGGAGACGGCGCGCAGACTGCTGTGTGCAGCGGGGTGTGTGCGGGACGGCGGGAGGGGCACTGGGGCGGGACTTGGGGAAGCTGGGATGCGGGCAGACGGCCAGCCAATGAGGAGGCCGCGAGCCGGTGCGGGAAGGCCGGGCGGGGCCGGGTCCCTGGAGACTGGCAGAGCAGGAAGGGTTTTGAAAGCCCGAGAGGATTTTACCTGGGGGCCTGGAGGCAGTAGCGGGTCTCTGGAGTTTATTACATAGGAGAGTGGTCAGAAGGGGAGGTGAAGAGTGGCCGTGGTCAGGAAGAGGAGCTTGACCGCTGCGGGGAGGCCCGAGGCCGGCCGGCCGGCGATTACAGCGGTCCAGGCGGGTGTGGGGAGGGTTTGAGGGCCTGCTTCACAGTGGTTGCGATGTCAAAGGAGAGAAGGGGGCACAGAAGAGACCCTAGAAAACTAGAAACGACAGGACTCAACTGATTGCTCGTAGTAGTTGAGAGAGAGGACTTGAGGATGATGACATCACCATTTTGAGCCTGAGTGACTTGTACCGACAGTAATAGGGAAGTTAGAAAGAGGGGATAGGGAGGGGCAGATTGGTGGGAAAGATAATGAGTTCAATTTTGAACTAATAAATTTAAGAAGTCTACCGGACATTCAGGTCAAGATGTCTGAAAAACAGTTGGAGATGTGAAACTGGAGCACTGGACAGGTTAAGACTAAAGTAGATCTGAGAGTCATCTGCATAAAGATGATGAGATGGGAGCTGATGAGATCACCAAGTGAAATAGTATAGAAGACAAAATATACAAATACAAGCTTTCAAGAAACTTACTTTTTACTGGTAATATATTACTTGTTCGAAGATAAAGACATAAGCGTGCAGAATGTAAATATGCAAAATAAATACAAAGTTATTTGGAGGAAGGCACTTTTAAGTTTTGCTAAGTCTTTATGCAATTTGTTATCTTATTTGGTTCTCACAACCCTGGGAAATAAGTACTATTTGTAGCTCCATTTTATAGATAAGAAAATTGTGGCTGAGCTAGGTTGGTGACTTGCCTGCAGTCACACAGCTAATAAGTGTCTGAGATGGAAGTTGAGTTTAGGTCTTCCTGACTCCATATCCAATACTATCCATAGTTTCACCTCATGCCATTAAGTTGTAAAAAGACCTAAATACAGTGGTTTATAATTAATCGTAGAGGTGATAAGAAGTCACTGCAGTTTAATGAGTAAAGTAATGACATGGTCAGATTTGTGTTTTAGGAAAATTATTTTGGTGGCTTTGTGGAGGATGGATTGGTATGGGAAGGCATGGAAATCTCAAGTCAGGAAGCTATTGGAATAGTTCATGTGTTGGCTGTGTGAGATGAGGTTAGGTTTTACAGCTGAAAGTGCAGGAAGAGGGAATGCTATGGAACTCTTGAGAGAAGGGACAGTTTGATACTGTCACTGGAGTGAGATGGAGACTCAGGGAGAAGTAAAATTATTGCCTTTGCTATAGTGAACCCCCTTTGAAATTAGATAATACAAATGTTTAGTGGACCCAGCCAGCTTGGTTTCATGACTTCAATTCTATTCATCAATACTTGAGTAGGAGCACATGTGGCAAACTGAAAGTAATCCAGGAATTGGGGTTTGGCAGAGGATGAACAATAATAGCACACGTGGCATTTGAGAGTAGAGAGGAGTATAATTGGACAGATTCACTACAAGAGTAAGATTAAGGAGTGAAGAGAGGGTAGCCAGACCAGTAGTGATTACATGGAAAAGAACTGAAAAGTAGAAGAATTGGTGGTCATTGTGAAGATGAAGTATAGGTTTAGGGGAAAGAGATAATAGATGGAATGGTAGAAGGTTATGATCAGTGTTCTTGATTAAGGAAATGCAAAGCTTTTGGGTTCTTTACATTATAAACTCTGTGAGTACAGGGATTGTCTTTTGCTTCTTTTTGGATCCTCAGGACTTCAGCATAGTGCCTGGCACGTAGTAGGTACTTAATAAATAATTGATTGATTGATAGATAAAGCAAGGTCAGGAGTGTGATCACCCAAGTGTGTATCTGAGGTGTAGTGGAAGAGTAAATAGATCTTGATAGTTGAGAAGCCCATGATTAATAAAGGAAAGAAGGGTTTTTTAAGATACATTGTTAACCTTTGTTAAGTTGATTAGAGAGCAACCAGCTCTATATCCTAAGCACTTTCAGGTGCCACTCGTCAAAGAAAAGATCTTACCTAGTATAGTAATCTTTGTGTTCCTGTGTTTTTGCTGGTACAAATGAAATGACTTTGTTTTCAGAGAGACTCTAGGGGGAGTCCCAGACTAAACTTTTGATAATGTCTCATTTTTCTGCTTTCCTGTGTGTGATTTTGGTCTAGTTCTCTATACCTTTCTTTTAGTTTGGCAAGTGATATTATTCTGTCCCTTTAATAAGTACTTTGGGAGGATTAATCAAATAAGTTACTAAAAAAAAGGAAATTATTGAAATGTAGGTTGGTTATTATTAGCTTTATTCTGCTCCCACTAATCTGAGATCTCATACAAATACGAATTCCTTTTGATTTCCTTTTCTGCCATAAATGTGTTGGTTAACTAAAATGTCTTGTAATAAATTTAAGTAAAAAAAAACATAGCTATTGAAATCATGATATTGAGCTGAGTTTCTTTTCTGTGAATGGTTGAGGGATCTGTTTTATTTTACTGTATTATTATTATTGTATTTTTTTGCTGTTGTATTCTGATAACGGAAAGAAAAGGTAGACCTTGTAGAACATCCAGTTGGCCCTAGCCTCCATTGTCCTATTTCTTTTGTGGCTAAAAATTTCTGGGTATTATAAATAGGTATTAGGACATTCTGACAGGAAGACCAGCTATTGGGGGAAGTTCATTTAGGGGGAGGTGTTTTAGCATTTATAATAATATACCAGATGAAATCAACTATTAATTGAAATACAGGTGGTATGGAGTAAGGTATAAAAACACTGACTTACTAAATTGAGCGTATACCTTTTAAGAAAAGATTTTGAAGTGGCCTCCAAGACCTTAGAAATTTAATAATCACTTTTGCTAGTTGCTGGTTTTTTTTTTTCCTTACTGTTAATCATGAGTCAGTATTTTATCATTGTGTAGAAAGAGAATCATTTGAATAAAGTAATACTTTGATAAAGTTTAGACTGGATTAGTTTATGAATGGAGGTAATGTCATCAGTACTTCATAAACAGCTGTTTAATAAGGTACTTCCTTTCAAAGGATTTGACCTTTAAGTTGCTACAGAAGGTAAACTTGTAAACCTTATTCTCTGTGTATTTTGATTTGTCTTGACCGAGAGCCTATATAGGTGCTAGTCCTGGGATTGACCAGGGCAACTAATTCCCCAAACTTCGGAATACTCTCTTCCCAAAAATAAATTTTTATACCTTCCTGTTGTCAACCATTTTTCTCTTTTTAGTGGCGAGGGTTTTAGTGAATGATTATTATACTGCCCTAAACTATGTATTGGGTCTTATTTTCTTTTGTTTCCTTCTTTCCTATTTTTTGTTTTTTAATCTTCTCCCTCTGACACTTACTACCTGTGTGATCTCAGGACTTCAGTTTCCTCACTTGTATACTGAAGGGGTTACACTAACCCCTTTGAAATCCCTTTGAAATACCTTCCAGTTCTAAATCTATAATTGTATGATCTATTTTTAAAATTGTCAGCTGAGAGGCAGCTAGGTGGCACAGTGGGATAGAGCAGATTGGCCCTGGAGTCAGGAGGACCTCAGTTCAAATCCAGTCTCAGATACTTAATCCTGATTGTCTCACCAAAAAAAAAAAATGTCAACTGAAATGTTGCATATGTTTACCTAAACATGTATTAGCTTTCTGTATTTTAGATGAAGGGACCTTAAATCATCTAGCCATTTTAATTTTAAAATGAGGAAAACAAGGGTCTTATAAGATGGTACCAGAAAAATGTGTATAAAGAAGTAGAAATTTTTCTGTTAAAGTTAAATGCATAGAAATTCTTAAAATTCTAAAATGAAGCTATAGTTTTATAGCAAATAATATTGTATATTAATTTTATTTGTAGTAGGAGATGAAGTTAGCTATATTAAGCTCTGCACAAAAAAAGTAATACTGATTAATTGTTGAATTTGGGGAAATATTTTTACTCTGTTCTGAGATAATGCTCGTATTTGATGAATCAAAGTTTTTTTTAGAAGTCATCAAGTGTTTCTGTTCATTGCTCCAGTTCATTTTATGATAATTTATAATCTATGATATGTAATTTATACTATATAAATATATTTTACAGGAAGAACTTTCTTGGTATGTTTATATGAACACCAAAAGTGACTTATTTTGTCTAATTTGTACTTTTAAGAAGGAAACATTCCCCTATAAAAGTGTTTTTGGCTGATTGGACAGAAATTGACTTGTTCTGTATGCATTATAACTTCTCAATAAATATTGGTAATTATGTATTATAATTTTTTTCTTTTATTAATAAGATTATATAGACTCTTATTTTTCAACTTTTGCGTTTTTTAACTCATGTTTTGCTCTCAGGTGCCCATTCCTCAGTTTTCCCTCATGCCCCTCTATGTTTTTTCATCATGTGATTCATAGGAGAAGCAAGTATTTTTATTGTATTAAACAGAATTAAATTACTATTAAAGTTATTGCAAAATTAGAATGAGTTCATCTTTGTCTGTGATCATATGGAGTTCAATGGTTTGATAGTTATGGTGGATTTTGCCCTTTTCCCTACACATTCTAGGTTGACAATTGCATTTTTTGCACTCTCTGGGCTGGATATGTTGGATTCATTAGATGTGGTGAACAAAGATGATATCATAGAATGGATTTACTCCCTGCAGGTTCTTCCCACAGAAGACAGTGAGTGAGTTTTTAGCATCTTTATTTTTTATATATTTTATTTAATATTGAGTGCTTTTGGCTCTTGGACCTAGTCTGTAGTTTTGCAGCTCTTCTTGAATTTCATAGGTTTTTTTTGTTTGTTTGTTTGTTTGCTTATTTTGTTATTTTGCTCATTTTTCTGGAAGTGACTGTGGAATAGGTTTGTATATTCTACATAGAATTAACTAATTACCATAATTATAGTTTTTATGAGGTGTAAAAACAATTCATTAAAATGTGGTTTTATAAAATGTACAAAACATTCTTTAATCATCTTTCTGTATGCAAAGCATGCTATCTCCCAAGCATACAAGGAGGTATAAAACCTCAGGGAGTCTAACTAAATCTGGAACTGAAGTTCTATTCTTATGTAAAATGGGAATAAAAGTCCTATTTAAATGAAAGTTGTTACTACTTCTTTCCTTATGATTTTGGTTGATGAGAATTTAGTTCATTGGTATTTGAGCTGCAGGCAAACACAAGGTAAATTGAGGTGATCTGTCCCTCCCACCTTTGAGGTCTGTTCTGTAACACTGCTCCTCCTTGAATAGAAATAAAGCCATGCACATAGTTAGAGATAATTGTTTCCATTTTTCTTTTGTAATACCTGCAATAGGTATACACTCTGCAAACAGTTGACCTAGTAAAGATATGATGGGACTGCCTTGATATGTGGCATTTCATTTTCATAGGGCCTGGCTTTTGGGATCCTATCTCTGATCTTCAATTTTCAGTCTTTACTTTGGATTTTGTAGCATCCTGGTTGGTAAGAAGCTTGTTACTGCTTCTGAATCTATGCTTTGGGATATTTCAGCTTTTTTATAGGTCACACAACCTTCCTTATTGGTATGGTCCCTTGGCCTATGGCGTTAGCAAAACTTATTTGCTCATGTAAAATGAGACTTTATCACTTTATCAGGAATATTGCCAACCAAGTAAAAGCTTTACTTGGGTCTATTTCTTTTACTGGGAGTTGGGATCGCAAGGTAAGAGTGTTATAAGGTCAATGGAAGTTTTTCCTCTGTGGTTACATTAGATACAGCAAAACTTTCTTAAATTGAAGGGTAGAATGGTATGTTAAAATAGCAAATGTTTATAGGAATCCTAAAGGTAGTTTCTTGGACAGGAGTATTCACTATAACTCACGTTATAGTTATAGGTGAACTATTTAAACCTTTTATGACTGTGGGCTAATTTAATAGTTATTTTTCAAGCTTTTGTTAGCCATCCCAACACATCTAGTTAAGGTGTTTGTGTATATGATCACAGAATCTCACAGTTGGAAGGGACCTTAGAGGCTATATAATTAACTTATCCATACAGGGATCCTTTCTATACCCTATAAGTAGTCATGTAGCCTAGCTTTGCTTGATGGGGAAAAAATTGTTGGAGTTGTAGGAGAACAGGCACACTAATACACTTTGGTGGAGCTATGAATTGGTTTGGCCATTCTGGAAAAAAATTTGGAAACAACCAAAAAGCACTTAACCAAATGTAGTCTTTAATCTTATAACATATTAGGCACATATCCCAAGGAGGTCAAGGGCAGGGATAAGGACCCATATGTACAAGACTATGCACCTTATGTAGTAGGAAAAACCTGGAAACAAATTATGTGTGCATGTCATTTGGGCAATAGTTGAACAAATTGTAATATAGGATTATAATAAATAAGTACTGCACCGTAAGATGTAACCAATATGACATTCAGAGAAAAGTGGAAAGACTTGTACAGACTGACATCCATCAAAATGAGCAGAACCAGGAGAACAATTTATGCGATAACAGTAACAATATAATGAAGAAAAATAACTGAAAGTCTTTGGAAACTCTGATCAAAGTGGATAGTAAATTTCAATGAACCAATGTTGCAATATACCTCCTACCTCTTGAGAAAGTGGTAATAGACAAGAGATGCCCAATAAAATATGCTTTGTTGACATGACCAATGTGCTGTATTATAAATATTGCTGTATGATAAACATTTGTTATAAGAGAGAACTTCTACTTAGGAAGTTTTGGATGTGGGCTAGCTTAATGAACAGTGATAAAATTGATTTTATATATATGTACTTTAATGCACAGAAAAAATGCAGAAAGGAATACAAATAGAATAATACTTTTACTACCTTGTTAAATTATTTATCTATATTAACGCATATATGCAATTTAACAAGGTAGTAAAAATCTGCATATATTCACTTACACTTGTAAAACAGATAGCTGAATAAAATAGAAGTCTGGTTTTAAACAAGGCCCCTCCCACTCCCCATTTTTTCAATATATTGAAATTTTGTTTGGGATGATTATGTTCATAATAAAAAAGAATTTTTTTAAAAAATTCACTCTCACCAAAATGCCTTTTCCAAACCTTTCTATATTCCTCAGGCTTCCAGTGACTATCCTTCTCCCAAACCTCTCAGGTGAGAATCTTGACACAGATTTTGCTGAAAATTTTGAAGCCATTTGCTGAGAGCTCCCTCTTTTTCCTCATCTTACATGTATCTCTAATCAGATACATCTTGAGCATTTAATAAATGCTGATTGACTGACATGACATGACTCAGATCCCATCTTTCACTATCTCCTCCTTCACTCCTTTTTTACATGATATGGTAGCCGTCCTCTTTGTAAGGGCTCACCTTTATACATGTACACGTCATGCCATTTCATCCTGTCTTCTTCAGAAGATTGTCCCCTTTGTCATCTCCAGTCTCTCACAGATCTTCACTCTTTCTCTATTGATTGCTTCCCTCTTGCCTACAGACATGCTTATCGAGGCAGCTGGTGACACAGTGGAAGCAGCTACGTAGTGTAGTAGATAAAACATTGGTCCTAGAGTAAGGAAGACCTGAGTTCAGTTCCAGCCTCAGACACTTATTAGTTGGGTGACCCTGGGATGGTCTTTTAACTTCTGTTTGCCTCAGTTTCCTCAACTGTAAATTGGTGATAATAGCACCTGCCTCCCAAGGTAAAATCCCAAGATTTTAAGGATCAAATGAAATTATATATTATATAAACACATAAATATATAATATATAATTTATCACATATTATATATACATATATCTATCTATATCTGTCCATATATATTAAAAGGTACTTAGAGTACTTGGAACATAGTAAATACTGTATAAATACTTATTCTTCTTTCCCTTCCCATGTTTCTCCTATCCTCAAAAATCCCTCACTTGATCTGTCCATTCTACTCTCATTCCATATTCTTTGTTCTTTTGGTGGCTAACTTCATCCAGAAAGGCATATATAATTGGGGCCTCCACATCTTTTTCTCCCACTCTCTCTTAATTCTCTGCTGTCTGGCTTCTAATATCATCATGCAGTAGAAAGTGCTCTCTAGAGTTACAAATAATGATCTCTTAATTGCCATATTTAATTACATTTTCCCAATCCTCATCCTTCTTGGCTTCTCTGCAGCATTTGCATTCTCTTCTCCTTGATACACACTTCTCTTTAGGTTTTTGAGACTCTTTTCTTTTCTGCTTCTCCTCCTACCTGTCTGCTCTTTTGCTAGATCTTCATCTACCACGAATGTTCTACAGGGCTATGTTTGGGACCCTCTTCTCCCTCTTTATTATTTCACTTGGTGATCTCATCAAGTCCCATGGATTTATCTCTGTACTGATGATTTGCATATCTACTTATCTAGCCTTAACCTGTCCCCTGACCTTCAGTCTTACATCTCCAACTGCCTATTGGACTTGAACTGGATGACTCATAGATATCTTGAACTCAACATGTCCAAAACTGAAATCATTATTCGTGTGCCCCTCCCCCCAGCCCTTCTCCTCTTTATAATGTTCCTGTTACTGATGAGAGCCCACCATCTTTCATCCTCAACTCCTTACTCTCTCTCTGATGTTCTCCCCCCCATTCAGTCATTTGCCAAGTCCTGTCATTTTTGTCCTCATAAATTCTGTCTTGTATATGCTCCCTTTTCTTCTGACACTGCTACCCTCGTGCAGGCCCTTATTACCTCATACCTGGACCACTGCAGTACCCTTCTGATTGGTTTCCCTCCTTAAATTTTTTCACTCCATCCTCCACTCATCTGCCAAATTGATCTTAAAACATAAGTCTGACCATGTCATGCCACTCCCATTTAATAAACTCTAATGGCTCCCTTCACTTTCAGGATCAAATATAAAATCCTGTGGCATTCAAAACACTTCATAGCTTCATAATCTGGTCCTTTCTTTCTAAGAAGAGAAAACCTCATTCTGATCCCCCCTTACTCTGAAATCCAGTGACAGAGACTTCATTGCTGTTTCCATCTCCTGACTGCAGACATTTTTGTCATCACTGCCTAGAATTTGAGTCACCCTCATTTATTGGCTCCAGGTTTCTCTACCTTCTTCTTTTTATTGGCTAGGCAATAGGGTTAAGTGACTTGCCCAGGATCACACAGCTAGTAAGTGTTATGTGTCTGATATCAGATTTGAACTTAGGTCCTCCAGAGTCGGGCCAGCGCTCTATCACTTGCACCACCCACCTGCCCCTCTCTTTTCTCTTAAGTCCTAGCCACAATCTCACCTTCTGTGGAAGCCTTCCCTAATTTCCCTTTATGTTACTGCCTTGGCTCTGTTAATTACTTCCAATTTGTTCTTTATATATCTTGTGTTGTATACATACTGTTGTTTTCTACCATTAGACTCCCATTCAACCATCTTGAAAGCTTGGACTGCTTTTTGCCTTTCTTTCTATCACTGATGCTTAGCATGGTACCTGGCATGTAATAGGCACTTAAATGCTTGTTGACTGACTAAAGATTAGTATTGTCAGGGAAAATTCACTGTTTCTTGAAGCATTTCATTCCACTTTGAGATTCTTCCAATTTATTAGGAAATTTTTATTTTATCAAACCCATTATACCTGTTTGTAGGTTTCACACATTACTCTGAGTACTGCCCCCTAAAGCAGTGTATTTGCTGAGTAGTCATGCTTAAAGCAATGCAAAATCT